AATGAATACCATTTTCTTTTGGGGTTCATATTATGTGGATGCAGTGTAATTTATTATAGCTGGGACTGATATAGAGTTTTGCTTTCAATGGTCTACAATCTTCCAAACCCCCCCCCCCCCCCCTCCACCAAAAAAAAAAAATTCCTAGGTTAAACTTTTAAGTGATTTCCTAATTTTTTTTTTACTTGTTAGTTGCTATGGATCTTCAACAAAATGATTTCCCGTGCTTTTTTCCCTTTTTGCTTACCTTTTTTCCTTTACTATCTTTTGTATGCTTTTTGTTCTAAATAAGACTGTTGTTTGATAATGACTTTGACAACCTTTAGGGGGGTGTTCTAAGTGATTGTTTACCTTTTTATATTCCAAGTTTTGTTTTCCGAGGAGGATGGGTAAATGGAGTTCTGCAGGTAGAGTCTTTCTCTGGTTTTTAAGAATGTAATATCTTGCAGTCTCCAGCTACCTCTCTAAAGTTGCTATGGAATTATTACGGGAGGCCAGTCTAATAATTAGGGAGCAGCCGTTTGGTTGGTCTTCCCTGACCAGGAAGAAGAAAATCTTTGAACGTTAACTGTCTTTTATTGGGGTTTACAATTTTTTTAATGTTACTCTAACCTTATTTCTCATTTATTCATCCGTGTTTGCAGGAGATACACCAAATTTTATGGCACTTCTGAAAGAACAGCTGCAGACTTGGTGCATGATGCTCTCACAAGTGTGTTTTCTTCATTGGCTCCATTTTATTTTTCTTTGACACTAGTGTTTTGTCTGTCACATATCTGTGCCTGGCATGCTGGTATTTACCTTCAAAATTGTCCTAGATTGTTTCATGCTTTCCAAAATCTTTATTCTCTTAGATTCATGTTTATTGCATTTAGGATCTTATAGAATTTTGAATATGTGTCAGATTACAAGAAGTGGGAAGAAGAGATAGAGAAATGGCAATGTCCTATCCTCAACGATGAAAGGCTACCAGAATGGTACTAAGCAGTCTTATATATCTGTTCCAATGAAAGATATTTCAATTTGTTTTCTTAAATAGGTAGGAGTTGTTATCAATTGTTCGGAAATGGAGATGCGGCAGTGCGGGTTTTGTTATCTTCTCAAAATTTGCATGTAGTTTCTTCCAGCATGTTAATTTGGATATGCCTAAACACGTCCATTGGTGAATGCATGATTTTTATGCCTGTTCTTTAACAGTCATATATGAAATCATAATAGTCTTTTGGAATCTGTAGGATATATACAATATATCTAGGTTCCCTATTAATTTGAACTTCTAGATTAACTTGTCATGCCACCAGTTTTTTGAGGAAAAAAATAATTATAAACATGACATCAAGGGGTGTCGCCTGTAACAAAAGAGAATTAGAAATTAGTAAAATATCAAGGTCTTTTACTCTCCTCTTTAGAAGAGGATAACTCTTAAACCAAAAAAGAAAAAAGGAAAAAAAAAGTTAATCATATGGAAGAGAGAATCTTTACCTCAAATTATTAACAATAAGTATTAGATGGTTTTTTTTGGGTCCCTATATACCCTCCCAAGCTGACGCTTATTAAAGCTTCTGACCTTGGGTTAAAACCAAACAATCTTATTGTTTCTTCACCCACTTATTGCTGACAATTACCTTAATATGAAGCATGCTTGTTAATCTATGTATGTTGCATCCAGAGGGATTATTTTCATGTGGTAGACATACCATGTTTGGACATGTAGGTTTGTCTTAGATTATAAACAATAAAGTTAGTAGTTTTCCTACTAGTTTAAGATTTTAGGGGTAATTCACCCCCTGAAGAAAAGATTTTGTAATTGGTCAATTAATTATTTATCAAAATCCATATATTTCTTTTCTAACAAAAAGAAAAGAAAAAAAAATGCATACACTACTGTCCTGTATGATATTAACTCATTAACATACTGTATGCAACATTCAGTATGGTATTCATTCTGGCAATGTCCCTTTCAGACATCAAATTACCAGGGCCTTACTGTCAAATGGCATAAAGTTACACACTTGACTTAATGGTTGGAACCGTTAATGAGAAACTATGAGAGGAAAAAAATGAAATTTTGTGGCAATCATTATCCTATTGTGGACAATTGTAGTATTTAGGCAGTGTTAAATATATTTGTCTTATTGATTTTTTTAAAAAAATAAATACATTTGTCTGTCTCATTGAATTTTATTTTTTCCTGGTTAGATGATGTTTCTTCAGTTAACTTTTTTTTTTTTGAAGGTACAAGTTCACATTGTTTAATGAGCTCTACTTTTTGGTTGCTGGTGGAACAATTTGGATAGGTGTGCATCTATATTAACTATTCTTTTTCGTTTTTGTTCACTTAAACTGTGCTTTCTCCTGTGTTATTACCAGACTTATTGCCATTATTTGCTTTTTTGAATCATATCTTTATTATCTTTTCTTTTGTAAACATTTGGTGTCTTTTCTTTTTTTCTTTTCTTGAATAGAAACAAAATCTTTGGTTAATTTAGCACTTATACACTTTTGGAACATTTTTTACAAGACTCTCCCCTATGTGATCTAAACATAAGAGATGATTGGCATCAGCCATCGAAAGCGGATAATTCAGATACCAAAGCAACGGAGACTGAAGTGACTATCAGGCAAGGTGGAGTAACAGAGCATAGTATTTCCAGCAATTGTAGTAGTTTTGAGAATGTTGGACTGAAAGGAATAGATGAATCAGCAGTTCCTTCAGAAGAGAATGTACTTTTGGGTCCACAAGATGATGAAGATAATGATGTTGGGAGGTTTCTATACTTGGAAGGAGTGGAATATGTCATGTGGTGCACATATGATGTCCACTTCTATGCATCCTTTGCCCTTCTTGAGCTTTTTCCTAAAATTGAACTCAATATTCAACGTGACTTTGCCAAAGCTGTCTTATCTGAAGATGGACGGAAAGTAAAATTTTTAGCAGAGGGTAAGTGGGGAATTCGGAAGGTTAGAGGAGCTGTTCCTCATGATTTAGGAACACATGATCCATGGAATGAAATGAATGCCTATAACATACATGATACAAGCAAATGGAAAGATCTAAACTCAAAGTTTGTACTCCAGGTGTATAGAGACTTTGCTGCAACAGGAGATATGTCATTTGGAGTCGATGTGTGGCCAGCTGTTCGTGCTGCAATGGAGTACATGGAACAGTTTGATAGGGACAATGATGATCTCATCGAGAATGATGGATTTCCAGATCAAACTTATGATACTTGGACAGTACATGGGGTGAGTGCCTACTGTGGTTGTCTGTGGCTAGCTGCACTCCAAGCTGCAGCTGCAATGGCGCTTCAATTAGGTGACAAATTTTTTGCTGAAATGTGCAAAAATAAATTTTTTAATGCGAAAGCAGCAATTGAAGCCAAATTGTGGAATGGTTCTTACTTTAATTATGACAGTGGATCAAGTAGTAACAGTAAATCCATACAAGCTGATCAACTGGCAGGGCAATGGTATTCCGGATCGTCAGGCTTGCCGTCACTTTTTGATGATTATAAAATCAAAAGTGCTCTACAGAAAATATATAGTTTCAATGTCTTGAAAATCAGAGGAGGCAAGATGGGGGCTGTAAATGGAATGCATCCAAATGGGAAGATAGATGAAACCTGCATGCAATCAAGAGAGATATGGACTGGTGTCACCTATGCTCTAGCAGCAACCATGATCCTCGAAGGAATGGAGGAAGAGGCATTCACTACGGCAGAAGGTATTTTCACTGCAGGCTGGTCAGAAGAAGGTTATGGGTAAGTTTAATCTGTCAACATCAGTGCTAATCTGATCATATTTGGGATCATTTGTTCCAAAAGGTTAAGTGCCTCCCTGATGGCATTTGCATGTCTATGATTCCTGAAGTTTCCAATTCTTGTCTTATTTAGAAACCTTTTGGAACCTTTTATTTCTGTGTCAATTGTATGTTGAGGCTGTTTTGTTTTTTTTTTCCTTTTTTGTTTGTGGGAGAGAGTTATAAACTCCATTTCCTAAAATTTTCTTTTATTTCTATTTTTTAAGTAGTGATTTGTAAGAGTGTTTTAATCATGAATATTAAGAGTTTTTGAAAACTTCAAATTTCAAACACATTTTCACTACCATTTGCTGAACATAATTTTTATTTTGATCATCGCATGCATTTCATGTATAAGCATATTTGAATTTGAAAAATAAAAACTAGATACGGTATCATTTTGGAAACAGAACCATAGTTTTTTAACTTGTAAGGTCCTTGGTTTAAATACATTGGATATCAATCATCAATCACTTACCTTTGAAAAAATAAGATTGAAAAGGGATAAAAATGACTGAGGCAGCCATTTTGCTTGACTTAACAAAAGAAGAATTAGCAGTTGGTTAATGAATTAAGTTCTCCTGTCAATGATCTGACTGGGTTAATATTTTGAGTCAGTTTTGGAGTTTGGCACTGCAATGTCCTGAAAATATTTATTTTCAATATACAAAGTCATTATTCGTTGACCAGATTGCATTCTCTTCAACCTGCCTCTTAATATTAGGTATTTGCTAGTTTTCCTTGGTCTAATTGTTACCTATCAGTTTACAGCAGCATGTAGTATCTATTATGCATAAGTCTTCTTATAAAATTTGCCACTCCAAAACTTTTGCATGCAGATATTGGTTCCAGACTCCCGAGGCGTGGACCATTGACGGACACTACCGATCCCTCATATATATGAGACCACTCGCTATCTGGGGCATGCAATGGGCTTTATCATTGCCTAAGGCAATTCTTGAGGCCCCTAAGATCAATATAATGGACAGAGTACATTTATCTCTCAGGAGTTCAAGATTCTCTTATAACGAAATGGGTGTCAGAAAGATTGCAACCAAAGCTAAGTGCTTGGGAAATTCGGCATTCAACTGCACCTGCTGATTATCACATGTGAGTTACTTTGTTATCCTTGTAAAGAATTAGTATGTTAGAAACTTCACTGAAACCCCTTCCCAGTGTAACTAGAATACTGGAATGGGTTTGGAGGAGTTTTTTATAGAAGTTGATTATTGCAGAAAATGCACTCTTCGTCAATGTTGTTAGAAAGAGGTTTGCCTTCTTTTCTTCTAATTGTTCTTTAATGCCCTACAAAATTTTGCTGAGGGCATTCAGGCAGAGTCCAAAAAGTAAGATTCTATCTCGAAATGGAATTTTTGTTTGTAATTTCTTGGCTCAATCTGGGTAGTGTTAAGGTGCATTTTTGGACCATGAAGGTACCAGAGGAACTTTTGCTCCGAGTCCTGGTTGCAAAATAATTACTTTTTTTTTTTTTATTTGCTTCTTTTGGTTTGCCTCCAACTAGTATAGGGGGATCTATCATCTAGGGATTTAGAGACTTTTAATTTTTTTTCCTCCCCAGAAAAATGGGTGATAAAGAACAATTGAGCATCTCTTGTGGTGGCTTGTTTTTTAGTTCCGAAGCAGATAGGATTTATAAGCTTTTATGTGGGAATAATTTCTAGAAAGATAAGTTTTTAACTTTTAGGGTTAATGCATTTAATCAAATGTAACTTGGTTTGGTTTATAATTCTATAAAAATAACCACATGTTCTGCAAAAGAGTAAGATTTTACTAAAATGGTTGCTTTCTAATCACTTATTGACCAGCAAATATTTTTTGAGACTGTTTTATTTGACTTATAAGTTAAGTTGCACTATCCACAGCAAATAGGATTGTAACTTATTTTTGGGCAGTTTAAGTTATAAGTTAAATTTATAGTATAAGTTAATGTTGGAAAAGCTCCTAAGCAGATGGCTTCCTTAAGGTTTCCTTTTAAATAAGCTAAGTAAGATTTATTTCTAATTCGTAATTTATATGAGCTAGACAATATTTGTATTCAACTTTTTAGGGTTGAGATGTAATTCTTTAGGATTTCACTTGTTGCAGAAGTCAGGTTTGAGTTTGAGCTGTAATTATATTTATTTATGATTTTGTTTATAATAAGTTTTCAGAGATCATATTTAGTTTAATATTTTTTTGGGAGGAAGTTTAAAATGTTGATTTCATGGTTTATTGAAAGAAGAATATGGTATAAGTGATATAAAACTGAGATGAGAAGTAGTAGTTTGTTTTTATGTTTAATTCAATTTATAAATAATTAATCAATTAAATTGACATTTATTTTAGAGAATTCAAACTACTAATGGGATTGGTTTCAAATACTGTATTCAAAATAATTAGATTGTGTAGGTATTAGAGCGGTTACAGTATTTTAAATGAGTTACCTCAGTTTTACATTTGGAATCGTTCAAACTAAATTGAGTTAAATAGATTAGGCGTGAATTTTTTCAGATCTACTTCGACACCATATGAAATGAGCAATTCTATTATTATAGAGCATATGAGGTTTGTCCGTCATGGCATCATAATCTGATCCCATTTTAACTATTAGAAGCTCAAGATGACAACCATGATTGGTTTTGATGGTGAATGGCTCAGAAATGACAATGTATTATTCTTCAGCTTTCTTTGGTGTTTTAGTCGAGTCCTAGAAATTTTTGAGTTCGATCAACATTAATAATCCTTTAGCAGAGTAGTTCTGCATGTTGATTTTTACTAAACTGCCATTATCAAGTTATGATTATGCTCGAGATTACAAACATTGTTCTCGTACCAAGGGATTTTCTTTTGGAGGAAATCTCAAGGGAAAAAATCAATTCTACTGCATTTGTAGCTTTCTAAATATTTTTGGGTAAACAACGTATACTCTTTTTTTACTTACTATGATCTTTATATTAATTGATCAATAAAAATATTGTTGTAACTATATGCTTCAATTCAAACGTATTTCAGAGATGAGTCCAGAATTATTAAATGCAAGGGTAAATGAAATTTAATTTTTGTGTAAACAATTCTGAGAAGAAAACTATAAACTTTAGTAGATTATCGGATTAGCTTTTGATATTTAATTTTATATTTTTTCCTAATAAGTTCGCGAAAAAGAAATGCATCTCCCTCAAAACAAATGCCATATATATGTGCGTGTACACTCACACATTCTCATAAGTTTAGAATGGATGTTCATTATAAAACTATGGTAAATTTGCGTTTCATTATATATATATATATATATATGTACATATGTATATATATAAAAGAGCTGGACTTTGGTATTACCATATTTTAATTAATATTTCAATGAGTTTTTTAAATAACATCATTTGTTTATGTAGATAAACATATATTCAAATTTATAGACATTAATATGTATATATAAAATTGATATTTAATTATAAAATGTTTAATAATAATCAAAATAAATTCTTGCAATTAAGAATTTATCAATTTATGTAATTCTTACTTATATAGAGAACATATATTCAAAATTATGCTCATTAAAGTACATTTGATTTGGTAATATTCAATAATAAAATGTCTAATAGTGATTATAATAAATTATTAACATTTTAATTTATGTAATTTATGCATGTATGCTTGAATTTATTTTTAATTAATCTAATTTTTTTTTTATATATAAAATATTCAAATTTATTGTCATTAATATATACATTGATAGTATTTGATTGTACAATGTTGATAATAGCTGAAATAATTATTGTAATTTTTTAAAAATTTACATGATTCTTATTTATATAAGAGAATACTTATATGAATTAAGATTACTAATACATCATATTAAGCAATTATTAATATTAAATTTATTTAATAATTAAATATTATATAATAATATAATAATATTTAATTATTAAATAAATTTAATATTAATAATTGCTTACTAGTTTAACATCTATATATATAAAGTAGTAATATCTGCATCAAAAGATTATTTATCAAAAGTCATTTGAATTTATCTATTTGATCTAATATAAATTTTTTTAATAATCACTTAAATGTCTTTATATGCACATTGTAGATTCTATTAAGCGTATATACATTGTGTATGTTTTCATGTTTGACATTATATATTTTATTTGTTTATTTTAGTTATTTAATAATTATTATTTTTACATAAATTTTAAATTATTTATTAAAAAATGTGTTTTTTAAAATAATTTCAATAGAAATCTTAAAATAATTGAATAATTTTTCTTCAATATTAAGAAAAGTTAATATTTAGAAAATTTTAAACTATCTATAATAATATATGAACTATTTTTATTTATAGATAAATAGTGAGGTGAATATATATGAAAAGAGATTTGCAAGTTTCATAATTAAAATTACACCTGTATAAATATAAAATGGATTAACTCATGATGTCAAAAAAATTACATAAAAATAACTTTTTTAATAATAAAGTATTGGTCTCACTAATAATTTAGAGAAAAATTAGCGTGACCAATCAATTTTAATGACGATTATTTTTATTAAATTATTAATTAAGACAAACCCTACATTAATCTATACTATTTGACAACCCCGTTCCATAGCATGATTGTATACATTTATTATTATTTATTTAGTTATACTATTCAAAGAAATCTAGCTGCTGCCATAGTCGCTGCCTATTTATTACACACCCAATTCTCTCTCTTCCGTTCTCCTGGATCGTGGCTCGGCAGCAATCATATTCTCCATTCTCTTGAGAACCCTAGGCTAGTGTCTTGTTGCTGGTCTCTAGCTTTCTCACAGGTACGATCTCTGAGTTGATTCATATTTGATGCTAGAAAGTCAATAAGGAATTGCTAGCAGGAAAAGGCTAAGTAATCATTGTTGAAGCATCGTAGTTGTTCTCTTTACTCGAACTAAGTCCCGGTACATGGATAATTAAGTTCACTCTGAGAAAATCAATTTTGAACACGAGTGTATATGTGTTCCATGAGTGATTTCGTCCTTCAAGAAAAATTCTGTTGAATTTTTTGCTAATCGAGTTTATGATGATTCTTCTCGGTTTCTTTTGCGAGTTTGAATGCTTCTCTTTAAATGTGTCCTATTTAATTGTTTGGCTGCCTTTGAATCTGCGGGAAACTTGAAGGACGTAATCGTTTAAAAATTCGAAAACTCATTTGCAGCTTAGGAAATGAAATCCATAAGAGGTGATATGCTTGATTTGTGTTTTCTCTCCTCACCATTTCTTCCATTTCCATAAGCAAATGTAGTCTGGTTGAAGAGCTAAATAGTGTTGCTCTTTTATATATCTATTTTTTGGTTTGTTAACTTGTGAATTATGCAGGCGTAGTTCTGTTGGTTCTCTAGGCATGGCGAGAAAAATGCTTATTGATGGGGAGCTGAACAAACCAAGCGAAGAGGCTCACTACGATTTTGATTTGTTTGTAATTGGAGCTGGAAGTGGTGGTGTTCGTGCAGCTAGGTTTTCAGCAAATTTTGGAGCTAAAGTGAGCCCCATTTGATCTTAACATGAGATAATTATAAATTTTATTCAGCATTTTTTGGTTCAACACTCAGCTAAGCTAATGTTTTCTTAGAGAAGTTTTCTTTTTGCTGATTTTAGATGATATTGCAGTTGGTGATTTGGTATGACATTCCTATAATTCAATATGAGAACGGAAATGCAACATGTAGTTGTCACACGATTTATTTTGACAATTTTTTATGTGGTCTTTCCTAAAATAAAATAAGTAAAACAAATTTCATCTCACATGCTTGTTTCAAGTTCTGCTGAGTCTTCTTGTATTCAATTGAAAGGCATAGCTATGTTCTTTGACCTTCACGTGTCAAGCCTCTTTTCTGCTTAACTTGTTGATTTGGTTTATTTCACCAGACAGTTCAGTTTCCATCTCCAACTGTTTCAAGTAGGCAGTTGTATCTCTTTTAGCTGGGGTTGAGTACTAGTATTGGCATGTTGATCATTTTTTTATTTCTTTGTCTGTTAGTGTTTCCAGTTGTACATATCTAGTAATTTTAGGTTCTAAAATGCCTTTCTTCTTTTGTAGCTAAATTGTTTTGTGGTTAATTGTCTGCTTCTTATTATTATTTTAAATATCACCTTTCTAGGTTGGTATTTGTGAACTACCTTTTCATCCAATCAGTTCAGAAGTAATTGGAGGAGTTGGTGGAACGTAAGTTTTTTAATCCATTGAATTGATAATTCTTTTACATGTTATTTATGGTACTCTTAGTACCTTGCTTTCTTTTATTACTTCAGTTCTTAAGATGAGTATCATAATTTTCGAGTTACATCTGCCTTTTTCATATATGGTCAACATCCTTAAAAATTTTATTGCTATGGCATGTGTTAAATTGATTATTAGTAAATAACCCCACAAGATTGAATTATTTATTTATTTTTGAGAGACCCACAAGATTGAATATAATGTGCTTGATGCTACAGAACCCCCAAAATACTATTTTGGGTCCTTACGTTTGTCTTCTCCCCATTCTCCTGTTGAAACTCGGTATGAACATTTTAACTGATTGTAGTTATTTTAGCAAGGCAATGACTTGTCACTCACTTAACAGAAGGTTTTTCAGTTTAGTTTGGTTACAGTAGTCTGTTTCCCTTTCCATATAGAAGATATAAAGGTATGAATATCACAAGATGCTACTACAAATTTTTTTTTTTTTTGGGAATAAAAAGTCAGGATGCTACTACAAATTATTGCACTTAATTGCAGTTTCCTATCAACAAAAACTGTGGAAAATTTCTCTTTGTTTCATTGTACAATGAATGCATGGAAAGATGAAGTTAGGCTATGTTTGTAACAAATCCAGAAATTTTCTGGAATCCATGTAAAAATCTACGCTTAAGATGGTGAAGATACTCCATACAATAAAGAAAATTTATGTATATAGAGCTTTACATGGAATTAGAAGAATGTATTCTAGATGGAATTTGGGATGCACTGTTCTAATTCCATATGGAATTCTGTGTGAGGTATTTTATTATCTTCTCATACAATTTACATAATCTCCTAGTTGAATTAAGTAATGAATTTGTAATAAATTCCATAGAATTTCTAGATTTGTTCCAAATATAGCCTTAATTAAATTTTTTATTATACTTTCACTATCTAATTAGTGATTGAGTTTGATTTAAGCAAAAGTTAGTTGAGAGTCCTGAGCTATATCCATAAATGGGTGTACTGGCAATTTTGGATGCATGTTATCATGTGATACTTTCAAAATTATTATAATATGTATAAGTTCGAAATCCTCAGTGAAGAGGTTGGCATAAGAGTTTATAGGCAAATTCCTAATTCCCGTGTTTCTAGATTTCCAAGTTGTTTTGTTGACCGTATATTTTTTTTTTTGTGAATTTGAAGGTTGGTGAGAAATGAAAAGTCTGTTCTTTTTCAGTTATTTAATACAAAGATATTTTTTGGGACAGTATACAGAAATTATTTTTGACAAGAAGTTGGTTCTCCTTTGTTGAAACAAGCAGAAAATGAGTTCTTATGAGAATTGAGCTAGAAGAAAGTTAATTATTAAGAAAAATATAGATTTTTGCAGAAACTATTTGCATGTAATGAAAGGAGCAGTCCCTTCAGTAGATGATAAAAAATATTTCTGCAATACGTCCTACATGATTATGTTGGTAACCGAATTTGGGTCAGTGTTATAACGTAGTTAGGGACCTTTATGGATAGCATGTGCTAAAAATCAAAATTTTAGTTCGTTGATATAAGTACCTATTAGATTCTTGTGATGTGAATACATACTAGATTCTTGTGTTGCTCTTACAACAATATTGCTCAAATTTGATAATCTATGGATGTTCGACCATGTTCCTTAATCCTTACTTTCAGTTACTCGTCTAGTGTTTTCTTGTATTTCCAAACTAAAAAATTTGGTGAGTTTTGGATTGAGTTGTTGGTAATTGATGTTTTTAATATTAAAATTCTAACTCTTAATACGTGAAACCAAAATTCTCTTTTATTGAACTCTTTATATTTGAAATTTCCAGGTGTGTAATTCGTGGTTGTGTTCCAAAGAAGATTTTGGTGTATGGAGCATCTTTTCGAGGTGAAATTGAGGTGAGAACTATGATCTCTAGCTCAATTATTTGATGTAGCTCGCTGATCTTGATGGATCGATTTTTTTTCTTTTCTTTTAGATAAAATTTTGGTCATATTTCCGTTTTCTATAAGAATCCAACAAAGAGAAAGTGTGAGGAGATTATGTTGAATGAGTTTTCTATGAAAACATTCTTAGAGAGGCTTAATCTCACGAATTAGGATCACTGTTTAGAGAGCTTAATATCAACTCAATCTGATTTTTTGATCGTCGCTAACTTTCTTGGCTTAGGTGTTCTTTATTTTTAATATTTTGGTAGTAAATTTTTATTACCAACAGGCAGTGGAACTTTCTGTTTTTTTTTTTTTTTAATCTAAAGCGGTGGAACTTTCTGTTCTCAGAAATAAATGTTAAATATCATTTTAAAACATTCAGCCTTATCAAGCATACATGTCAAGTGGTAAAAACGACTTTGCCATGATAACAAAAACTTCATTTGATTTTTGAATACATCTTAGTTTTGACTTGTAGATTCTGTGTGAAACTATGATGGTATTTCTTAACGTTCAGTTGGTCACAAAATTTTTGCCTCCTTTATATGATAGTAAAGTTTACATGGTTTTTAGGATACTAGTTGAAATAATGATTCATTTATCATAAAGCTTAAGCCCCTGCTACATTATTGTTTGTTTGTAGGATGCCAGGAATTATGGGTGGGAAGTGAATGAGAATGTTGACTTCAACTGGAAAAAGCTTTTGCAAAAGAAGGTAAAAGTTTCTATATTCTTGATCTTCATGTTTATTGTATATTAGCTCCAGTGCAACAACTTTTTCGAAAACCATAGCTGGGTGGATGAAATCAAGAAAAAAGCAGTTGCAAGAAATGATATAAAGGTGACTGTCATTTTAGCAATCATTCTGATGATTGAAATTGAAGTGGTGTTTGTTGCTTTGGCATTGGAGGAAATGAATCGGGGATGAGCCTTACTGTGCTATGTATTTCCAAACCATTCAGTGTATGGAAAATGTCCCTGCGGGTTGAGGGATTGAAAAGGATGCTTTGAGAAGTACAAAAGAAAATTTATTACTCAAGAGGCACCAAGGGAGGTGCCACTATATTACAAAGTGTGGACATACCTTAGGTACAATATTCCAAAGGGCTGGAGCAAGATCACAGATGCATTCAGCCACCAGTCCAAAGAGAAGCAAATAAAATTTTAAACCAGATTAATTGGGTACCTTTCTAACACCAAAAGGCTTTTGAGGTTATAGCAGAGGCATAGCCATTACGAAAATGAAGACTGGTTAGGGAGGCTGCTTTGTGTCACAGAAGATGGGAAAGAGTTGTCTTTCCGGAGACTCTCTTGCTAGCATGGCCTGTTTAGATTTTTGGGAACTTCTTCAAGGATATGGAACAGTTTACTGTGAGAAAAGTTTTCATCTATTGGATATTAGAGGGTGTAGTAGGTAGTATAACATCTATTGCTTTTAGGTCAAATATTTAATGTGAGCATTTGGCTTCTTTCTTCTTCATCTATTTTCAGAGTATGAGTGCAACTCTTCTAGTTGCTTTTCAATAAGACAGAAAAAATTTCTGGTTTGTTTTCTTGAATAACATCAATTTAGTTTTTGTTGAAATTTACACATTCATACTGCAAATATTATCTTTGCGATCCTCTTATGAACATAAGTGGTAGAACTGTGCTTGTTCTGTTTGCTGCTGCTTAAGCTCTGTCTCAATATGAGACTGGATTGGTCTAATAAAATTAGGAGTCGCCACTAACTTGGGTTGGGGTTAGACACATCAATTAAACTGTTTTTTTTTTTAAAGAAAAGTGTAAAGTGTATTGATGTAGGCGCTAAGGGGGCGCCACCCAAGTACACATCAATTAAACTGTATGTACTCAAGTAATATAATTTTAGGAAATTAAGGTAGATATAACGGTGCCAGCTACCAATATTCACAAAACTTGAAATGATTAGTTTAAACAACTCATTTAGGTATGATGTTAAGTAGATTTCATTAGCCTAAATGGATTTGGGTTATTTTTGGAAAGAAAAAATGAAAAATAAATTAATAAAATGCGCCAAGGGGGTGCAAGCTATATTGAACGTATTTACATCCTAGTAATACTATCTATGACGTGTTCCAAATCTTCAATCCTATACATGTCGTGTCCCAAAAAAATAGAACCAAAATAGTGGGACTAACTATCCTTAATCTTTACAATATCTCTTTCCACCCCATCAAACGCCCTCCTATTCCTTTCTTTACAAATTACCCAAAATATAGTCAAGGGAATAATTCTTAAATACTTTTTTCTTCTTGATAAATGGATTTGGGTTATTAGTGGTGAAACATGCTTGGAACTATAAAAAATTAGGTCTAAACCAGTCGAACCCATTTCGATTACTTTAGGCTTTTTTAACCAGTTAAACATGATAAATGGATTTGGGTTATTAGTGGTGAAACATGCTTGGAACTATAAAAAATTAGGTCTAAACCAGTCGAACCCATTTCGATTACTTTAGGCTTTTTTAACCAGTTAAACATGTTAAATGGATTACTTTTTATGCAATCTATTGACATATTTTTGACCTATTTATTATATATATTATATATACATAATTATATATACTTGTGTATGTACAACATAAATAATATAAACAATACATATAATATTATAATATAGAGAAATTTAGTATACATATTAAATGTGGAAATTCGAATTTTGGATGGGTTAACTCATTTGGCATATTTAGGATAAATAATTCCACCGATTTATAGCAGGTCGTATATATATTGAGATGACAAGCTATCTACTAAGCTACTTGAGTAGAGCCAAAGGAAATAGACAGTTATTTAATGTACTGAAGTGGCCTGTTTAAACATTACTCATTCATGTTGTCACCCCTGCCGGGAACCCGGGTGTGAATTAATACAAGTAGCACTTGTTCATAAGTGATCCTGTCTTAACTATCATATTGAACAAGAATAAATGTCCCCTAGCTATTATTTTCAAATAATTATTTATGCAGGTTTTTTTTTAACTCCTATAAGTTATGGGTTTTTCCTTAAAGCAAGTTTTTAAATATGAAGCTCCTTTGAGATTTTTTTTTATTAATAGATGTGTCACTTTATTGTTCTAGAATAAATAATTTTACTTAGGGAAATTTTTTTTTCTTCACTTTGATCTTTTGGAACTTCACTCTTGCTTGTTATTTTTATCTTTCATAGTTGTCGTGGCTTTGGTTGATTACCTTCTATTTTTTATTGCAGACAGATGAAATAGTAAGACTAAATGGAATTTACAAGCGTTTATTGTCAAATGCTGGAGTTAAATTGTATGAAGGTGAGGGAAAGATAGTTGGTCCTACTGAAGTTGAGGTAACACAATTAGATGGCACTAAGTTGTGCTATTCGGCAAAGCACATATTGATTGCTACTGGCAGTAGGGCTCAGCGGCCTCCTATTCCTGGGCATGTAAGTTTTTTGCTTTTTCCTTCTAGTATGACTGGATGTTGATTGGGAATTCAAAAAACTACTCATCCTTGGTTATAAAGTAAGCACATTAATGGTAACTAATTGGTCTAAAACATTGTATTGGATTTTTCTATTAGTAAGAAAAGAATTATTATTAGCGAGAGAGATTTGGAAAAAAATACACGAAAGAAGGATAAAAGGTTCTCCTAAGAAAGGAGGTAAAGAAATAACATATTATTAATGTAAAACTGTTGTTCAATCTCTTTTAGAAAAAGATAAAGAGATGTTCCTACAGATTCCATGTACCTAGCCTAAGGAGATGCCAAAAACACCATCCTTCAGACTCACAAAAATTAAAAGAGGTAGAGAAGATCCTTAAAAACACAATGTGCCTCAGTTGTCTCGAACTCTTAATTGTGCTGAACTGCTTAAGGCTCGGCATATTTGGAATAATAATTGAATTAGGAAACTTTATCTGTGTGTTTTCAGAAGATTTAAGTTTGATTTAACACCTATATAAAGATTACTAGTCAAGAGGTCAGAGTTGGTTGGAATTGATATTCTTTAGTAATATTGACTTTTTTTTTGAAATAAATATTCTTTATTAATATTAACAAAGTCTATTCTGTAGCTCTATCTCTGTTCTGCTCCCTTTCCATCTGTTTCACTTCTGCCTGTTGTTTGCCCTTTCTCTATCTCTATTAACAAATCTCTGTCTCTATTAACAAATCTTTGTTCTTACTTGTTTCTTCGCCTTAATCCCTCTTTTTCTCTAAATTCCTTCCTGTTCTTTTATTTCCTCGGGCCTAAATTCAGCACTTTATTAGTTGGTTTAGGACTCTCTGTCTGGTTTAAATGTCAGCCCCTTGATGATGGGATTGATATTTGTTGATCTTTTTTATCTCTTCTATTTTAGAGAACTTTAAATTGTTGTACATGGATTGCAACCAACTTTGGTGCCTTCGAAGAGAAAAATTTCTCCACCACTTGGTTTCATGCCCAACTTGTCCTACGTCATTTAGGTTATCCATTGAACTTGAGTTCTGATTTTTCCTATCTACTGGCAGTTGTATAAAGCATCTAGTATTATCTTTTTATTTTCTGCACTACTTTTCCCATGCACGTTTGTTCTTTGTTTCCAACTTCTGATAGTAATAAGATACCAGACTACTTACCATGTATGTTTGTTCTAAATACCTAAGATTTTTTGGAGGATCTTATTAATCTTTAGAATGGATCTTATCCATCAAACTTGATGGGGAGACATGGCCATTTACCTAAGCACTGATAGTCACGAGAAACCTAACTTAAATCAGGTTGATTTGTTGTTGTATCCAAATTATTGGATTAAATATTTATTTCTGATTTGAGGTGCTGACTCATGGTTCACTTTGTTTGTATACACAATTTTGGATTTTCTAGGAGTTGGCTATAACCTCTGATGAGGCATTGAGCTTGGATGAGTTGCCTAAGCGTGCCGTAGTGCTTGGAGGAGGGTACATTGCTTTTCCCATAATACCTCTTTTTCATTGTGGCTGATCTTCTTGGCAGGCCAATATTTATATGATTACGTTCTTTTGTCCTTTAGGTACATTGCTGTTGAGTTTGCTTCAATATGGCGTGGTTTTGGATCTAATGTGGATATATTTTTCAGGAAGGAACTGCCATTAAGGTTTGAGCTATTGTGTTCATGTTCAACTTGTTGATTGTTTTACTTTATCTTTGAGTTGGAGATTCCTGTTTATGATCAGGTCTATGAACAGCCATATAATGCATGTTCTTATGCGTTAACCCTGATTTTAAATGGTCATAACACTGTAAGTTTATTATCTCAAAAAAAAAAATAAAAACACTGTAAGTTTCTAAGACTGCTATTACTAGTCTAGGACCTATATTTTCTCGGCTATAATTTTTTAAATCCTTGTTAGGATAAGGTCCCTGCACATTGATGAACTGAACAGTACTTTGTGATGGTTTTTTGTTAATTTTTAAAGGCAAGGTAGTATATATAACTCACACATGAGTAAATGCTCAGAAGTAATTGCATACTTTGCCAAAAGCAAAATTAAGTTGAGGCCTCTGCAAACTCCCCACCCCCCCCAACCCAAAAGTCAAATGTCTCAGAGTGAAAGATTATGTTTATAGTAAACTATTCAAAAAGGACAGTTTTCTTATTAAGTTAATTGATTTCTGAGTTGGTTCCATATTCAATCTTTTCCTTTCCTGGCAGGAACTAAATGATCTATTTGTCATGCCCATTTTCTGCTTTGGTACATTGGAGAATTTTTTATACTTTTGTGTATAAATTTTCTGCTGCAGAGGTTTTGATGATGAAATGAGAGCTATGGTTGCAAGAAATTTGGAAGGAAGAGGAATTAATGTGCACCCCAGGACAAGTTTGAAAGAAGTATACCTGTTTGGATCTTCTTGTGATTCCTTTCTGTAGAACTGTTATTTCTTTATGTTTTTGCTAGTTTTCCTGATCTATTTTTACCTGTTACTAATGATGGCTGTATCTGCTAAAAAATCCAGTTAATTAAAACAGAGGATGGCATAAAAGTAATTACAGATCATGGTGAAGAGCTGATGGCTGATGTTGTACTCTTTGCTACTGGTAACTTCAATTACTGTTCGAACTACTAGTACTTCCAGCCAAAGTTCCATATATTCTACCATCAAGTACAACAGTTTTTCTGCTTCTTACTGAATGATTCCTTATCTTTCTTCATAGTTTCAGATGCTTTTCATCTTGTGCATCTTATATTATTTTACTTAGTTTACCTTCTTAAAGTTGTAAAATTTCTAATCTCTTGTATAGTTGCTTGCTACTTTTTGGTGATCAACATATTAGAAATCAATGTGCTCTTCAGTCCATTTATTCTTCTTCTAATTGTTTTCGTTTTTAGAATGTGAAGGGTGAACTTTTTTACCATTTAGATTTCCAATATAATCTGTTTGCCTTCAAATGACAGATGTAACTTTTCATTTCGAGCTTTGTACGTAATGTTTTTATAAGTTGTTAATATATCTGCTGACTTTTTATGACCTATAAAAGTTATTATCTGACATAAATCTTGATATGTAAGAGGCCACCAAATTGTTGACATGTTTGTTTGTTAGCATTATGTGTTGTGTACGTTTCTGGATGTTTAGAAAGCTAAAGAGTTATTATACTGTTGTTTATAAGAGTGCCTACATTCCTCTCTTGCCTATTTTGTTTGTTACAGGTAGGGCCCCTAATACAAAGCGATTGAATTTAGATGCTGCTGGCGTGGAAGTTGATCAAATAGGAGCTGTTAAGGTCATGGGATTTCTCTTCTTATTCTGGATTCTTTTTAACTTAGCATTCTGTAATTTGTTGTCAGCAGAAATCATCTGATTGTGTGTTTACTATGATAATGTCAGTCTCCTCTACTGTTGTTATTAGTTGTCTATTTTTTGCAGTACTGCCAACATGAGTCTTTTTGTATTTGATCTGTTTAGAAGTGATCTTTGGCCAATATAATATTCTTCTTTTTTGCTTTTTTGGGAGGACAACTAGTCCTTCCTTGTGGTAGTCCTTCCTTGTGGTATCCCTCTCTCTCTTTCTAACAGCACTTTTTTTTCTACCAAAATAGGAGTAGTTGATCCTTTTGGAAGTAATACTTGGCCTTTGTTTATTTTAAAAAAAAATACTTGGCCTTTGTTAGGCAATTGATACTGAAAGGCTCGTATTGAATGTGAATGGCAATATGTAGTTTTATCTTTATAATGTCATTATAGGAGAATAGAATACTATTTTTTTTAGATAAAAGAGTGGGAGTAGTGTTGATTGTAGACACCAAGGAGTTGACGCCCATATACAAAAAATTTATAACTCAATGAATATATCTACAATGTAACCAAAATCATCAATACAAAGGTTATGTTCAAGAATAATAGACCAAAAAACGTGAAACCATTTGTCTTTGATGTTGCCAAAACTATCCTTTTTGCCCTCAAAAGCTCTATTGTTTTTTTTCTTTCCAGATGATCCAAAAAATGATGAGAGGAATTAGTCGACATTTTTTGTTTCCTTTGCGCAGAAATTCCCGAGCCTTCAATTCATCTTTTATAGAGCTGGCAATAATCCATTTAATACCAAGTAGCCCGTGGACGATGGTCAATAATTTTTGAGTGAAAGGGCAGTGAAGTAGAAGGTGGTTACATGATTCAGCATTTTCTTTGCAAAGAAAGCACCTGTTGGATAATGTTATACCCCTTTTCATAAGATTGTCTATGGTTAGAATCCATTGTTTTGCAGCCTTCCTGGTAAAGAAGGTGATACAAGGGAGGGCATTGGATTTCCAAATCATTTTTTCCAGAAAATCAGAATTACTTGCTCTGTTATGGCCTGCCAGATGGTGGTAGAATGTTTTGACCAACAATTTGCCATTGTTGCCAAGAGACCAATGAAGTTGATCCTCTTTATTGGTGGGTTGAAATTCGGCTAGGAGTGAAAGCAAGTTTTCATATTGTTCGATCTGCCAATCTTGTAGATTCCTATTAACCACATGTTCCAACCGCTGCCGTTGATTTCTATGTCAGCTGGGGATGCAATGCTGTGAATATGGACTGAGATTTTTCTACCGGAATTTTCTCTGTGATTTCTGAAATATTATGCTTTGGTCACAATGGGTATCCTGAACTGTCCATGTGAGTGGGAAGGCAATTAGATGCTTATTTAATGGTACTTACTGTTCAATGGAGTCAACATCTGTCACGTGGCAGATAGAAGCTCAGCTATTTAATGCAATAACAGTTGGTGTGGTTCCTGATCCCCAGATTTGGTTAAGGTCACCTTTGTTTAGCGGCGAGAAAAATATAGTAATAAATAATGCATCACTACATAATTTCAATCTGGGTGTTCTACATAGGGGTATGTTAGGGTCCTTGTTTCTTTTGGAATTCTCAAGTCTTCTATTACTTTAGGAATGTAATGTCAGAATATTAGACCTGCTATGTAATTTATAGTTTTGCATGATTGACTTAATTGTGACATTCTAATGTTCTCTTGAATGGTGTAAGCCCATCAGTAAATCTGAAAAGAAACACGTTTATGATAAATGACAAAAAGTTACTGAAATGTTGCCGAAACTTCTACCTTGCTTTTTTCTCAGGTAGATGATTATTCACGCACCAATATACCAAGTATATGGGCTATTGGAGATGTTACAAATCGAATGAACCTTACTCCTGTTGCCTTAATGGAAGGGACCTACTTTGCTGTATGTTCATCTGGATTCTTTTTATTAAAGTTTTTTTTCTCATTACCTTTTTTCTCCCAAACTTCTGCTTTGGTTTTGCTTAAGCAAGTCCGGTTCAAGTGATTTCATTTGGGCTGATGAATGAATTTCTTTTGTATTGCTGCAGAAAACTGTTTTTGGGGGGCAACCTAGCAAACCAAACTACAGCAATGTACCCCATGCTGTGTTTAGGTAACCATCTCTAGCTTGGGAATGCAGGGCCTCTTGTCATGTTCTTTCTTGATCTTTGTTTATCACAGTAAATAAATGCTGCTGGAGTAGCATCTGCAGACAGCTGAATTAAATGTCTACAACAGTTCTTTGGGGTCTGAAATTGTTAATTCATAATCTTTTTAAATGGCATGAATCTCCTTTATAGAGTTTGATTATTTGAGTTTGAAACCTATTTCCACTCTGTTGTAGAAATAGTTATGATATTATTTCATTTCGATTATTAATCTTGTGAAGGATTTGTAAGAACTTTTCGTACTAAGACCAGATTTAGTATTAACAATCCTCAAGTCAACAAGCTCATAACTGTGGCTCAAGTATAATTTTATAGGAAAGGTGATGCAGAAGAGGAAGATATTAAAGTGGATATATTTCATTACTATGATATGTTTTGTAATTGTAATGTTTATATGTTATAGCTTATTTAGGAATTAATATCTATAGGATAAATTGTACGAATTTATCATTTCTTATTTAGTTATTTTCTATAACAGATTAGTCTAATTAATTAGCTTATTTTTCTTTTCATAGAGTTCCTAGATAGATTTGAGAGTTCTTATTATTAGTATAGTTGGAGTATTAGATTAGTATTCACACGATTATTATACAAATATTAAGTTATTTATTTGATTATTGAAATTCAAGATCTCCAATTTTGGTTCTTAATAAATTTTCTAAGTATTGTGGTTAGGTTCTCTTTGTCCCACATCAATTAGGAGTAGAGCCTCCCATATTTTTCATCCAAACTCCATAATCTACAACCAAGAAAAAGAAAAAGAAAACATAGCAACCTTGGAACCCTTAACACTGACAATAGGTAAAATAAACATAGACAAAGATCATTAGCTACAAGCATTTGCCAGCCTTTGCCTGGAGGTGCAAGTGACTACCATGAACATCAACACTAGAGAATATTGATTGACCTGCCTACCATCAATATCTAAATTCGCTAAAAACTACCACACATGCCACAAACAACGTTGCCTACTGTTGCCTTGCAGAAACTCAAGCTTCCTGACGACTTAGACAACCATTGCGACTAGATTGAGGACCTCCATCAACGGTCTTTTTTATAGATGGAAACATGACACCCAAAGAACATAACACAGAAGCAATGACATAATGTGCTAGAAGCCATAAAAGTAAAATCTTCTTTGCCGCTTCTATAGCTGAGCCGCCTCTTGGCAAAGTTGTTTTTGAAGCCACTTTCAAGCCAACTTTTATCCAAAATTCAGCAATTTGTAGGTAATGTTAAATTGTTCTTTCTAGTTGAGGTTTCTTCAAGGATAAATAGGACAAAAAGAAACTTTCGATGGATTTGAAACATGATTAGTGTTTCTTTAGTTACATTCTATCAAGCATATGTTCAATTACAAAGGATGTTCAACAAGATGATTTAGACAATTTTTTACCAATTTGGATATGTGGAGAAAATTAAAATCAGACGAAATTTTGCAAGGTTGCAAGCTTTTGTAACTTATAAACTTAGTGAAGATGCTATTGGACTCAAGATTCTCCTTAAAAATAGTAGTTATATGATGGATGTTATCAAATGAAAATTCAATATTATTTTCCGAGATCTAAAATAGTGGAAGCAAGTATTCTACCCACTAAAGAAAGGAAAGTCAAAGGAACAACATGACACTTCTTGTTTTTCTAAAGCTCATACACACATACAACTTTTTATTTTATAAAAAAAAAACTGAGAGGATTTAAAAGCAGTTGTTTAGGAATTTAGTAATAAGATTGACATATTTGAGGATGTCTTACTGTCATGTCATTGTATTTTTCTCTTCTTATCTTAATAGATCTTATTCATTTATTAAGAAAAAAAAA